TCAGTTGAATGATCATGTTTTTCGCCCCCCTCATTCTATTCAGGTAGTGTATTACATCAATTGATTTTTTTTTATGTTAAACCACTCTTGCATTACTTGAATTTCTTACATTAAACCACTACTGCACCCCACTTGGTCATGGTGTCTAATCCTTTTAATATACTGTGGGCTCAACTTGGAAGTGTTTTGTTGCACATTTTTGTACATATATTCATAAGATATATGGATCTGTAGTTTTTTCTTCTGATGACTTTGATTTGGAAGTGATATGGCCCTGAGTTTTCCTTTTTGGACAGATTTTGATTACTGATTCAATTTCTCTACTTGAAAGAAGTTTATTCAGGTTTTCTATTTCTTCTTGAGTCTGTTTTGGCACTTTGTTTTTAGGAATTTGTGTATTTTGTTTAGATGATCTAATTTGTTGGTATATAACTGTTCATAATACTCTCTTTTAATCCTTTTTTATTTCTGTAAGGTAAATAGTAATGTCCCCAATGACATTTCTATCTTTCTTTTTAAAGTAGTTTGAGTGTTCTTTCTTTTCTCCTTAGTCCTGATCTTTTCAAAGAATCAACTTTTGCTTTTATTGATTTTCTCTATCATTTTTCTCTTCTCTATTTTGTTATCTTTGTCCTAATCTTTATTATTTCTTTCCTTCTGTTATATTTCAGTTTAATTTCTCTTCTTTTTCTAGCTAATTAGGGTTAAAATTAGGCTATTGATTTCAGATCTTTTTTCTTTATTAATGTGTATATTTACTGGTATACATTTTCCTCTCACTGCATTGTTTTCCCATTAATATAGATTTAAAATTATTACTTTATGCATTTGTATTTTACATGGTGTAGAAAAAGAGAAGAGTTACAAACCCCAAACACAAGAATATTGGCTTTTATATTTATCTATGTGCTTTCTTTTATGAGTGCTTTATAAAATATTTTCATATGTCTTCAAGTTACTGCCTTTTGTCCTTCCATTTCAACCTGAAGGACTCCCTTTAGCATTTTTTTGTAGGGCAAGTTTGCCATGATTCTTGGTTGAGTTTTTTTCTTTTAACACTCTAAATATGTCATCCCACTACCTTCTGGCCTCTCTGGTTTCTGATGAGAAATTGTCTGTTAATCTTATTGAGTATCTCTTGTTCATAATGAGTCAGTTCTCTTTTGCTGCTTTCAAGATTCTTTTATTACTTTGTACTTGACAGTTTGATTATAATATGTGTCAGTGTGGATCTCATTGAGTATATTCCACTTGGAGTTCATTGAGCTTCTTGGGTGTATAGTTCATGTGTCTCATTACCAGGCAGTTTTGGACCATTATTTCTTCAAATATTCTGTCTTTTGCTCTCTCCTCTTCTTCTGGACTCCCATTATGTGTATGTTGGTATATTTGGTGTTTTCCTACAGCTCTTTTAGATTCTTGGTTTTACTTAATTCTTTTTTTCCTATTCCTCAGACTGGATAATCTCAACTGACATATTTTCAAGTTCACTTATTCTTTCTTCTGCTTGCTTGAATCTATTGTTGAGCTCCTCTAGTGAATTTTTCACTTTCGTTATTGTATTTTTTTAGCTCTAGAATTTTTATTTAGTTCTTTCATATATTTTCTATTTCTTCATTGATATCCTCTGTTTGGGGAAATTCCCAGGAATATGTGGAAGCTCTTCAGAGTCCTTATTCTTCAAAGTAACTATCTCCTCAGGTTATTCTCAAGGATTTTCACTGTGTCTGTTATTTATCTCAATTGATATACTTTGTCCTAGGTGGCAGTGGGTGGTTCATTTGCCTTTTAATGTTTTTGAGGAATGCCCTGTACACAGCTGTTTTTCTGTCCTGAGAAAGTTCCAGGTTTAGATGAAATAAAGGTAGGTCCTCTGTTGCAGTCTTTCAGGGGGACCATAGACAGGTCAAAATAGATAACTTTTGAGATAAAGGTCCATTTTGTTTTCTCTGGATATAGGAACCAGTACCGGAAATATGGACTGCTGTCTTTAAGACTGCTACTGAGCTGAGAAGGCAGGGGTGTGGAAAGAGCACGTTAGAATGCCACAGTCTCCTCCCACATTTTATTTGCCTTTTTCTTAATGAAGCATTCACTTGGTTTCTGTAAATCTTTGGCTATTTCCCAGAGTTCTAATAAAGCTGATTCTGAAAACTTTTGCCAGTTTTTTCTGTGCTTCTGTGGAAGAATAGGTCTTTGGAGTTCCCTATCCCATAATTTTTATTTAGAGATAAATAAGTGGTAAAGCTGAATAAATGCAAGAGAATGATAAAAACACCCCCACCCCAATCCTTTTTACTGCATAGGAAGACTGATGTAGTTGGGGATGGGCTCATAGGAGGCTTCTAGAGTGTTGGTAATATTCCATGTTTTTTGTTTGGGTGAAGGGCACAGGCATTTCTAAATTTTATATTCTTTAAACCTGCATGTACATTATGTAGACTTATGTATGGTATATTATATGATAAAAAAAGACTTCTGAGATTTATTATTGCCCTTAACAAGACCCTTCATAGAACTATTTTTTTTAAAGTAGCTTGAACCTATGTGGAAACAAACACTTTAAAACAATATGTATCTAGCAACAGGTGAAAAACGAGCTATGGTTCATTCACATGAGAGGACAATATTAAACTATGAAAAAGAATGAGGTATATTTATTTGTATTGACCTGGATAGAAGGTTTCAAAATTTTAAGAGAATAGAGAACAGCTATGAAATAGTCTGTATAATATAATCAGCTTAAAGCAATTAAAATTATTATATATGTATACATTTGCATTCTTGTATATGTATAGAAATTTTGACCAGTATTAAACTGTTATTTGTGGAAAGTGGTACTGTGGGGAATGAGGGTGGTAACTTTTATCCTTAACTTTATACTTCTATGTATTGTTTAAAAATTTTATGACAATTTTATAATAGAAACACATATCAACATGTAGTTTTAAAAATAGGTAATTCCTTAAATATTAAAAAATGTAAGCAATCAGTTAGTGGTTTTGTGACTAAAATATACTTGATTCTAGTGAGGGCTGATTCAAGAACTAGCTGACTCATCCAATTCAAAACTGTTCTTTTCTCCACCTGCTTACCATGAGTCAGTCAGTCAGTTATCATGCTAGATACTGGGCTGAAAAGATAGATACTGTCGTTATCCTCAAGAGCTTATAGTCTAGGAGAAGAGACACAGACACATAATAGATTCACCTTAAAGAGTCTGTAAATACAATGATGGAATATGACCTGGGGTATTTAGATGCATTATGGAGGGACACATAGTCTAGCCTGGGGATGTTAGGAAGGCTTTCTGGTTGAAGTAATGTCTGAGTCAAATCTTAAAGAACAGGTGTTTGACAGGTGTAGCTACATATTCAACATCCAGTAAGTTGCAGCATTAGGATACATATGAACTATTGAGTTTTATGCAAAATATTTTCTTCTTTCAGCTAATGAGTTCAACAAAGTCACTAAAATGTTAGTGCCAAATTAAGGCAACACCATGATTTATATATAGCTCAAGCTTGTCTTTAGTAGCTTCCCATGCACATTATCTGATTCCTTTTCCCACCCTTTTTAGATTCACCTTTCCCCCTGAAGCATTGTGTTCTCCAGTTGACAAAGAGGATTTTCAAAGAGATACCTTTGATTTTTCAGGTGAATGATTTCTTTCTTTCTTAGTTACAGCAATGTTTAAGCATTTGCACTTGTAACTATTTACTTAATTGATTTGGACTTAGAAGGTTATAAACACAAAGAAGCTTTACCTTTTCTCACCATGTCTACTTTAAACACTTTTCTGAAGTTCTGGTTGTCTCCACCTGAGGATAGTATCTTGGGCCAAGTGATAGCTTTTCTGATTACTTTTAGTATTAATACGTGGTTTCCTTATCTGGATATTAGAAATTCTAGTATAGTCTGAAACAAAAAATTTAATTTGTTGTCCAAATTAAAATTTATTCCTCAAGATTTAGTTTGACTCATACTTGATCTATTTATTTTCCTCTGACCTTTCACACCTCATCCCCCATATTACTTCATTGCCTCTGGTTACTCAAGGTTTGAGGTGGAGAGAGGTAAAGGCAGGAAGGCTTTTCCTTGACTGGTATTGTTGCCTTATGTGTTTGGCAAAGGTTTGTATGTTGATTTTTCTCTTATTGAGTGCTTTCTTTTTTGGGGGTGGGAGTTCTCTAAACTGCAGTTCTTTGATGTAGGCAATGCTTATGACTTCTTTCATCACTGGATTCTGCTGATCCACTTCTCCAAGTACTACATTTGGGTGGAATCCCTTTCAAAATGGTTCAAGTTAGTTACCTTCCATTAGCTATAACTAGGTCAAATATGGGTATTCTGTATTTTATTATTGGTGGGAATTCAGTTTGCTCCTGTTGTAGTCCATTTCTTTCTGATCTGCTTTCAGAGTTAGCTCTTCTACAGTATTTAAGCTTTTTACAGGTATGAATCAGGGACAGTGCAAGTGCTCATCAAATCTCATGGGACAAGGCCAAGCCAACTTCTCTTGATGTGATCCTCATTTTCTTTATGGGAAATGCATAGTAACAACCCATTAAAGATACTCTTACTCATGGCTTCAACCAAATTTCCAATCTCCCCTTGTACGTTGTTGATGAGGATGAAGAGCTAAGAATTGTGAAGTTGACTTTACGATCTCTTAGTATATCCAACATTGATGTGTGGGATTTCTGTAAAAAATTCAGGACATTTTATATGTTGTGTCTTTCTAATAAAGTGTTAGACAGCCATGTAAGCAAATAACAGTTTGATTCATATCTCTTAACAAAGTTGTGGGGACAGAGATTGCACATGAAAAAGTCAATACCTTCCTGGAAGTAAATGTTAAGATTTTAAAGTTACTTTTACCATGTATTGGGAAGCAATCTTTCCCCATGGAAACACATTTATAAAGCTAAAAGCACATCAAAATATGATCAAATACATGATAAATATCATTTTGCAATGGTGACTTGCTTGGTGACTATGAATAAAGCCAAGTCAGTTTGGGCTGGAAGAAGAAGATTGTTCTTCTACTTGCTGAACAGAGTCTTTGGGTTTCACAAAACCTATTCACAAGGTTTGGATAATTCTTATTCCACAAAGGACCCAACTGAGGGCAAATTTCATGTCTCTGTTGCATATGCTATAGATAAAGGGAATAAGACTGGTGTCACTACAGAATACATCAGTGTGACAGCCTTTTGCACAGCAACAGAGTTGCCAGATGTGGGACTCATATACATCACCAGGTGGTTCCATAGAACAGACACCCCACAACTAAGTGGGATCCACAGGTAGAGAAGGCCTTTTGCTGCCCAGCTGAAGAAGGAACTTGAAGCACTGCCCTGAGCACCAAGGTATAGGACCCCAGGATGTACAAAATGGTGAGTATTATGATAAGAGAGCTCACAGAATGGCATCTGTGCTCTATGATAGGTGTAGGAGCACAGGATAATGCCATCAGTGGGTCCACATCACACAGAAAGTGATCAGTAATGTTGGGACTACAAAAAGGTAGTTGAGAAATGAAGAAAATAGGAACTGAATATCCAACGAAACCAGTGAGCCAACAGAGACACCAAAATGTCACAACTCTGTGCGGTTGTGATGGAGGGATAGTGCAGTGGATGGCAGCTGGCCAAGTACCGATCACGCGCCATGACACAGAAGAAGAAGCATTCAGTTGTGCCCAGGGGAAAGAAGAAGTAGAATTGAGTAAAGCAACCAGAGAAGGATATGGTCTTGATTTTGGAAAGAAAACTGACCAGCATGTTGGGGACTGTGCAGTTCACATACCGGATCTCTAAGAAAGAGTTGGCCAGGAGCACATACATAGGAGTATGGAGCCGGTGCTCCCACTTTACTACACAGTTGATGGCCATATTCCCAGTCAGAGTCAAGATGCAGACCAAGAAAATCACTGAGAAAAGAGTGACCTGCATTTTCCAGGGACCAGGAGAGCCCAGCAAGACACACTGTGTCACAGTAGATGTCCTGACTTATTCACGGTTCCCAGCCTGTGGAGAGAAGACAGATAATGGAAAGTCACTTCACTACTGAGGCATTTGAAACTTTTCTTAGGACAGGGAGTTGATTTATGAAGGCAAATGTATTAAATATTCTAAAACAAGTTTTGAATAAATCCTGATCAATTCTGAATGAGACCTTTGGCCCTAATTCTTTGTAAGTGTGCAAAATTTTCTTTTGATATAAAACATTTTGAAATGGAGGCTAAAATAATTTATCCTATATCTAATTTTTTTCATTAAAAGCTGTTCATATATAGCAACTAGGGCTATTCACCACAAAATGTGAGGACACATATGCTGTAATTTAAAAATAGATTTGATCTGATACTTTTTACAGATTTGGATGCTCTGAGCTTTGACATTATATCAGATTCTCCCCCCATCCCCTTTCTTGAGATACTTTCATTAGGAGACTTTATTTTCTATCATTTTTTTCATGATACCAGAAGAAAATTGACAAGGATCTTCAGATAATAATTACCTCTTTATGTATCTTGCCATTTTCTATTTAAAGACATTTATATTGCATTACAGCTCATTTACAATTGGGTATTTAATCCTTCTATTTTAGCAATGAAAAGTCACTATTACTCACCCCATGATAATTAATTTCACATAGTAATTTATCTTCCTTTGTATACATTGAAAGTCTATGTCTTTAAAGGTGAATATAATGTGTGAGATACAGTGAAGAAAATTAAAGTCACCGAGAGATTGTCTTCGAGAGCTCTTCTTACTGTTATCACAAGTTTCCCTTAAAATTTACTATTTGAAAGATTTTAACTATTTAAAAAGTAGTTCCCAGTTTTCAAAATAACAGAAAACAAGGCAGTCAAAGATGTTTCAAAAAGAATTGTTTACCCATATTTCAAAATTTGACCTTATTCCCTTTATAATACCATCACCAAAGATGTCTTTTTAAGAATTTAATACAACTCAGAGAAAAGAACACAATGATAGCTTTAACATATTGGAAATCTCCAGAATTTTTTTAAAGAAGATACTTTTAACTTTTGACTGATAAGAGGATAGTTTTCCTTAAAAATAATTTTGAAAGAAGTGGTATAAATAGAATATTTATAGTACTCACTGAACATAATCAAATAGAAAAAAAACCCTTCTGTTCAGTGAGGCTATATTAGGTAAGATAAATATATTTATAATGATGCAGCTATTGCAGGCTCACTAAAATTAGCAATAAATAGGTGAACTATGATGTACTCATCCAGAAACAAACATAACCTTCCTATTGAGTTGGTTGTGTCAAAGCAGGCTGTAGTTTTGTGAACAAGAAAACCAAGAAGGGAAGGAAACTGAAAGATGGGGATAAATTCTTTTTAATTTTTAAACTAGGATGATTGTGAAGAGCTATACTAACCTGCATGATGATTATTTTGGTGAGATATGAAAAAGTGGTTCCCCACTATGGGAACTCTGCTTGCCAACAAGAGACCTCTTTTCCCAGCAAGACAAGAAACTCGTGATGCATAGGCCAGCCACTTACTGCTTGCAAGAACAGCTACAATGACTTGAGCTCGGATGCACAGACTTTGATTCCAAATCAAAATACACGAGATTTAGCTCTGTATATTTGAGTTATAGATGGCTCTTTTTGATGTTAAAATAATAATAACAAAAAAAATCACAGAAAAACTATTAGTCAGCCATAGGGAAAGCATGGTAAATGGATTTCACACATAATTTCCAACATAACTGTAAGAAGCAGTTCTTAGTATATTAAGCCTATGTGAATCTTAGTCCTCACACACTGATTTAATTTTACCCTGAACATTTTTTTAGATGCCACTTCTGAAGGTGCACATGAGTAATGGAATAGACAGAGGGGAGAGCTGAAAGAGGAGAATCCTCCTCCTCCCCACAAAGGAGGTTCTCTCGGTTCAGTCCCAGTGGGTAGAGCTAGTTCCTTCTGTTTTGCTCAAAATATATATAAAGTCATAGCTCCAGCCACTTCATGAGAAGGGAAAGGCCTGTGGATCACTTTGGCACTGTTTAGTGCACTTATTTTGGAAAACATGAATTTCAAGGTGATCTAAATTCTCTGAGAGGTTTTTAATTTTTTTTAGTTCTTGAGTTGAAAGAGAAACTAATATTCTTTGATACTCAATCCCTTGAGCATAATAAATGAACAAGTATATAGTGAAGAGGCCCACCTGTGGTGTATAATGGCAGCAGTGCCCATCAAAAAAGAAAACAACTATTATATACCATGAGGCCTTCCTAAGTCAGCCTTGGGAAAGTCCATAGAGAGGTCAGAAAGATTCTCTCCTTCACTGACTTTAATGTGGAAACCCTGTGCGAAAGGTTCACACGTGGATTATTTCATTTGCCCTGCACCATTCTAGTGGCCTATTTCCTACGGAGGGTATTGAAACTATGTGCAGGTCTTAATTTATGTGTCATTTTAGCCATTGCTGAGAATTCTCAGGTATCTTTTCATGTGTTCCAATAACTTTCTATACTTTCCCTAGTGACTTTCTTACTTATTGCTTGGTGGTTTCATTAATATTTTTGATAAGCTGACTCATAGGGATTCTTAAAATAATGTGCTACATTGACTCTTGGGAGCTCCTGTGGTCTTCTTAAGCCTAAGAGGGATTTTTTTTTTTTTGCCATGGGATATACAAAGCTCTTAATTAACTGTCTTCCTGAAGGGACAGTTTTACTAAAGAAAATAATTTTATATCACCCAAATATATGTGTACCATGGAGCAGAAAGTATAATTTGTGATCATTTGTAAGATAAAATTTTGAATTTCAAAGAAATATTGTCTCCAAATGCCCCATGTTTTCTGACTGCTGTTGCCAAACATGCTTTGGTGGCAGGAAGTCTTTGACGAGCACTGTATTAGAGTATCTCATCACCTAACATCAGCACACCTATCTTCCTGGCACACCTAATTTAATTCCCAGTATGGGCATAACCAAAAGGGTGCGTTCTCATTTTAAGTAAATTGGCCCCTCAGCTGATGGCTTTCCTGTTTCTGCATAGGGTCTTGGCACAAAGTGGAATTTGTTCTTGGCATAATTTTCTCTGCATACTTTTCTGACTGATACTTTGACCTCTAGCTTTCTGAGAGGAATAAAAATAAAAATAACTTTAGGGCATTGTTGTTCCATATTACAAGTGAAACTGGAATTACCATGATTGATTTGGGGAGAAAGCACTATGAATAAAGATGCTTATTTGGGAGAAAATGTACTTAAAGTAAAATAAGTAGGTTGATGATTGTGAAGTGCAGGGCTTAGGCAGTGGATCAATAGGACAGAAGACTGAATGGAGCAGACTATTGGATGAAGGCTTTGAATGGCAGGATGAAGAGTTTGTATTTTATCTTTAGGAGATAGAGGTATGAAGAATATTCTGTTTTTGGTGTGACCAAGCAAGGGAAAATGTCCATTCCTTGATATGATTTTTTTGGTGGCCCTGTGACTCATTCTTTCTAAAGATATTTATTTTTTGTATTTAGAAGATTGTACCCTCTCTTGAAAGGCTCCAGGTACACATGCATTTGATTCCTTTCACCACTTAAGATTAAACCAGCAAAGATACATCTCACACAAAAATAATATATATATATAAAACAACACCATGTAATTACTCAGTGAAGTCATGCCTGTTTAAAATGTTTTATTGAGCATTTATCATTGATGAGCTGAACTTGAAGGAAACCATGAAACATATCTCTCTCTCTACTAAAGTGTGAACCAGAACAACACTCACCGAAGCCATTTTCTATACTTGTTTTAAATAACTAAGGTCAGAAGTGACAAGTTCTTCTTCTCTTTGAAAGATGTCTCAGTTGTGGTTAATTCTTAACCCCAGAACTTTCTTTAGGGCATCTTTCATGTCTTTGTTTCGGAGGCTATAAATAAAGGGATTTAAAAGCGGAGTCACAGCTGAATATACCAAAGTGATGATCTTCTGCATTCCTGCTGGGTTCCCCAATGTAGGGCTCACATACATCAACATAAGGGTTCCATAGAATAGAGTCACCACCATTAGATGGGATGCACATGTGGAGAAAGCTTTAGTTCGACCAGCACTAGTGGGAACACGAAGCACAGCTCTGAATACTAGAATGTAAGAGCCCAAGATAGAGAAGAAGGGTCCAAAGATTATCACTGAGTTGAAGGTGTAACACATAAGCACAGTGAAAGGAGCAGGGATGCAGGCCAGCATGAACAATGGGCCTGGGTCACACACGAAGTGGTCAATGATGTTGGATCCACAGAAGGGAAGCTGGGAGATAAGGACAATGGGGACTGGATAGCAGAGAAATCCACTCACCCAGCAAACACAGACTAGGATCACACAGAACTTCCCAGTCATGATAGAGGGGTAATGTAGTGGGCGACAGATGGCCAGGTACCGATCATAAGCCATAGCTGATAGGAAAAAACACTCTGTCATACCCAGTGAAAAAAAGAAATAGAATTGGAGGAAGCATTCAGTGAAGGAGATGGTCTTGGTCTCAGAGAGTATGTTGACCAGCATATTTGGGACAGTGGAGGAAATGTACCAGATCTCTAGGAAGGCAAAATTTCCCAGGAAGATGTACATGGGTGTGTGAAGCCACTTGTCCCATTTCACTGCACAGACAATAGTCCCATTCCCCAGCAGGGTCAGGAGATAGGCCACTAGGATTATTGAAAACAAGAAGCTCTCCATCTCCCTTGGACCAGGGAAACCCAGGAGGATAAACTCAGTCACAAAATGCATTGTTCTGTTCTCGGATCCTAAACCTGTCAGTGAAACAGAAGTAACAAAGGAGTGAATAATAATGAACATTGTAAGTTTTGCTAACAAATTGCTTGAAAATGTGCATAGGATTTTTACATACATTATCTCATTTGGTCTTCCTAATGACCTTTTGAGCTGTAGAGTGGTGTTCTTTGTCGCTCTCTTTTACAGGTAAGGAAACTGAAGTCAGAGAGATTTAAGAGGTTTACTTAAATGCGCAAAGCCAGTCACTCCTGGATACACTAGCTCATGCGGAGATTGGCTTGGAACAAAGACCACTTCATTTCAAATAGTCCTAGGGCACTGAGTCTCATTAATGTTGCATCTTCCATGTAAAAGTCATTACCCCTTGGATATCCTACATACAAGTATAAATTTTGGATACATCCTTTTACTTTGAAACAAAATTAAGTAAATTGGAAGTAAAAATGGCTGTTAAATTGCCTTCATCAGAGTTTTATATGTAGAAGTACAGTAAAAAGCAGATAAAAATGTAACTATGTGATAGGAGTTTTGAATCCTGCCCCCACCCCCCATTTCACTGCTCTTGGGGATGAGCTGCAGAACCCTTGGGATTCTGTAAAATGGTTTGAAAATCACCTCTCTAGCTCCTTCTAGGTCATATTCTGCTAGGTAATATCTGGATTTGTGGAATAATTTCAGTCCATTCCCCTCTTGAGGAACTCTGGTCTCTCAAAGTACTTCTTTATATTTAGTGAATCTGTCTCCTTTATTACTTCTATCCATTGATCCTGAGACTCCCCTTTGTTGCAGCTACACAAAATAAATCTAATTCTTCTTTTATTATGGTGATGGTTGGGGGTTGCTGAATAACAGA